GGAGAAAATATTGGGCTGAAAGCCAGACCACAATGCTATTTATTAATTAAATCTTCTTCAAAACAAGGAACATTCCCTACTTTTCTATAGCTGGTGTTTCATAAAACTAAGCATCATACTTTCTGTTATATATATATATATATATATATGTGTGTGTGTGTGTGTGTGTGTGTGTGTATATATATATATGTGTATATATATATACACATATATATATATACACACATACTCTGATTAGGGAGCTGGCATTAAACTACAAAAGCATGGGGCAACTGGGTGGCTCAGTCAGGCTCAGGTCACGTTCTCACAGTTCATGGGTTCGAGCCCCACACTGGGCTCTGGGCTGACGGCTCACAGCCTGGAGCCTACTTTGGATTCTGTCTCTGTCTCTCTCTTCCCCTCCCCTGCTCACGCTCTCTCTCTCTCAAAAATAAACATTAAAAAATTAAAAAAAATTAAACTAGAAGCAATAGATCAATGAAGGAAACATGCAACGTCCACTCCACCTTAAAATTTGTAAGATAATGCTCCCTGTCCAATAAAACCCTCACCATTCTTTTAGAAATGTTGATAATTTAAGGGAACCCAGACTACCATAAAGTATAAAATCAACCTGTAACCTACATTTATTTGACCTAGCTTGAGGTGCAATAACCTTACTCAAATTTGATTTACTATTTTAGTGAACACTTAAAATTCAGAAGGCTTTTCCAGGGAACCCATTTGAATAATTCAGCTCTCTTTAAAATTTGTGTAAAGTAGTTTCAATTAATATGTCTTTTATTTTTCTTTCAGAAAAGGAGTCTGGATAACAGATGTAATTGTTCAAAGGTATCACACTGGCTAGTAGCTTCTTCAAGTGCTTGGTGCCTCCTGTTTGGAGGTAACAATGAGGTTCCTTTTTTTTTAAGTTTATTTATTTATCTTGAGAGAGAGAGTGTGTGAGCAGGAGAGGGGCAGACAGAGAAGGAGAGAAAGAGAGAATCCCAAGCAAGCTCTGCACTGTCAGCACAGACCCTGGTTCGGGGCTTGATCTCACAGACCATGAACTCGTGACCCGAGCCAAAATCAAGAGTCGGGAGCTTAACCGACTAAGCCACCCAGGCGCTCCAACCATGAGGTTCGTAACCTGAAAATCAGTTTAAGAAGTAAAGACAACATAATGGACCCCCTCTAAGGGGGTCTGGATTGTGCCCCACAGACGATACGCCTATGTCCTAACCCCAGGACTCGGGGATGTGACCTTGCCTGAAAGCGGGGCACCTGTCGATAGTCTTCAAGTTCAAGTGAGGTCCTGCTGGAGGGCACGGTGCTTCCAGACTGGCACAGCCCCCACTGTCTTGCACATCCTGCTTTATTCAGGTACATGTTCTGCTGGTCTCCGTGGTCTACACTTTCTAGTTTACAAATAAGCCTTAGAGAGTCTCCGTGACTCGATCAAGGTCATAGGGGCAGTGCTAAGGTTGGACCTAAGACCCAGGACTTCTGGAGTCTGAGCTCAGTGTGGAAACATCAGCTGCATGGGCTCTTTGGAGTCCGCAGCCCCTTTACAGTTCTTACTACTTCTTACCCCCCCCCCCCCCCCCCATAGAGTTAGTTAGAGTTAGAGTTACTCCCCTAGAATCAGCCAGCCCTTCATCCATTTATTCTCTTGCCATTTATTGAACATTAATTCCACCAGACACTGTGCTGGACCCTGGAGATACAGCAGGGAACGCAGATTTACACTCTGGTGGGGAAGAGAGGCAGGCAGATAGGTCTTAGCTCCTCGACTATCCTGCAAGCCTTCAGCGGCAGGACCCAGTTGAATTTACTTCTGAACTAACAACACAGCAGTATGGACACCTACATGTCCAATAAAACATCAAATAGATTTTTTTTAGAAAAGACAAAATTGTATTGGAGCAGCACAGGTCCCGCTTCATTAAGACTGGTGTTTATCAGGGGAAGAGGAGAGAGGCGGGGCCAGAGTGCCTGTGACCAGCCAGGCAGAGACCGGAGTTGGGAGCCAGGAGCCAGCAAACACCAAGATCTGGCAGGAACCGTCAGCGGCTGGCCAAGGCGAGGAAGGACTGACTCCTAGCGACATCCAAGAGAGTACCATCCCGCGGATCCCAGACGTCCGTTCGAAGTCACCGAGCCTGTCATGTTTTGTTAGAGTGGGTCCTGCATGGCCAAGCACTCTACAGAACCCCTTCCATGCTGACAGGCACCAGGAGACGACACACACTATGAAGTCACTCCTCGGGGTGCCAGAACCCTGCTCATCAGTTAGCAGGTGCTTCGTGGGCAGGCTCTAGAACGTGCAGAATCAGGCAGTGTCTCTAGAACAACGTCGCCCAGGTCCCCTCGAGACTGACTGTTGGGAGCTCTGGAGGGGTCTGCACCTTCCCCTCCTGGAGCACCCCCAGCATGGGGCGAGAAGGTGGGGTGCATCACGAGGAAGGCGGGTGGGAGGGCCTCGTGATCAGGAAACGTACTTCCTCTCTGTCACATCCACCAACTCTGCGGAGCTCGCATACAGACCTTTGTTCTCCAGACCCTCTCCACCTGGTAGCAGATATCTGAAGGCACTTGGCCACGCTTCCCGAGACTTCTTTTCAGTCTTGCATTTCTTCACGTGCGCCCCAAAGGGCTTGAACGTTGTCTTTCGAGGCACATCCTCTGCACACATGGCTCACCGTTCCCCTTCCACACAGGGAACAAGGAGCTGAGCTCCCGTCTGCCCGCTCCGAGCCTCCCTGCTCCTTGTCATGCAGTCTCAGCTGGCACTGGCCCTGTTTGTCTAGCAGTACGTGTTGTGTTCTTAAAATCAATCAAAAAGGAACATAGAACCAGCAGAACAATCATTCTGCCAGATTTTTAAAGGAACAGAGCAGTAAGCTACCAGACTAACAAGCTGGGGCTACAGGGAGCAAATCAAGGATGCTAATGAGAAGTGGATGAGTGGGAAAACAAAACGGGGGTGCAGAGAGGTGGGGGTGCGCCTCCTTCCACGGAGGTCCGGCCTGCTGCTTTCCCAAGGGGCACCACACCCAGGCACCATTCTGCCGAAGGCACCCCACGTTTGCACGCGCAGTCCTGCACCATGCAGAGGACTTTTGGGTCAGGGAGAGCCCTGGTTCCCCCTGTGAATCACACTCCGGCCACATCACTGCTGCCTCCAAGAAGCCATGAGAGTGGTACCGTGGATGTGACGATGCTGGAGCGTCCTGGGGCCCCGCTAACAGGCGGCCGGTTAGTGCACTGCAGCGGTCCTGCTTCCCCTGCACATGCGCATATATATAGAATGATATTCTAAACTAACACTCCTGAAGGGGACATATTAGATTCCAGCCAGAAAAAAAAAAAAGTCAACAAAATTAGTAATGGGCAACACCTGCAAAAGCCCCTTAGTGCCTCTCCGCTTTGGTAAGGGGAATGCCGAATCCAGAAAACACAAGGTCATGGGAGTGATGTCCAGATAAGTGGTTTCTCCTCCAAGGCCCATGTGCATAAAAGCATGGCCAGCTCGACTCAGGCTGGAAGAAATGCCTCTCAAACTTGGGTGTTCATACGCACTACTGGGAATCTTGTTAAATACAGAGCCCCAGTCCGTAGGCCTGTGTTTACGACGAGCTCCCAAGTACCCTGGAGTCACACATGGAGTGGACAGGGGCCTCCCGCAGCACTGGGGACTTCCTCCACCCCTAGCTCCAACCGCTGGGCCCCGAAAGCTCAGGGTTTACGCTCAGAATTGAAGAGGTCAGGCCGGGGGGAGGGGGGACACTCTCACTGCGGTGTGATAAAACCAAGACCTGAAAACCAGACTTTGAGGCTCAAGATATTTCTTGGCTGAGGTCTTCCTCAAATGGTGGACCTTCAAATATAGCTCTTTGTCACAGATTTTTCAAGACATAACATTCCTATTGCAGAACTGAAGCTGCTAACTTCAACATCTAAAGTTATCTTTTGTTACGTCTTTTATACATTTTTTTCTTACCAAATTTCATTTACTAATAATGGATTTTGGCACTTACTGCAAAATGCAGGCTTTTTCTTTCTTTTTAAAAAATGTTTATTTTTGAGAGAGAGAGAGACAGAGCACAAGCAGGGGAGGGGCAGAGAGAGAGGGAGACACAGAATCCGAAGCAGGCTCCAGGCTCCGAGCTGTCAGCACAGAGCCCGACGCAGGGCTCAAACCCAGGAAAGGCAAGATCATGACCTGAGCCGAAGTCGGAGGCTTAACCGACTGAGCCCCCCAGGCGCCCGAGCTTTTTGTTTCTAAGTCATGGTCCAAACCAACTTTTGTTTCTTGAAGCATACTTGAAAACACCAAATAGGACTGATCTCTTTCTAAAATGATTACACTTAGCAATTAATTGGTTGCTAACGGCTGTTATTAATGTTTTTACAATACTTGATTCTTCCAAGTGCATGGGCTCCCCACCTACAATTCTTTTAATTTGCCTGGATAATCTGTTTTCATTAGAAAACTGTAACATCTCAGGTGAATTCTAAATTAGTTTAATTTTAAATAAGGGCTTTTCATCAAGTACACATTAAATATAAATAAATAGTGTTCTTTGGCTTTAGTTGGGTGCTTATTTTGATGTTTTGATTTAATCCACTCATTTTAAAAATATACATTCACTTTTATTTAAAATAGACTTCAGTGTCTGTTTTATGAAGGAATTATTTACTCCAGTCATAATTTATTGTAATTGGGTGTGTGAGTCATTTCTGTGTTCAACAATTATGATCCATTTCAGCTGTTTTTCGTTAGGTTCCCGATTAGATAGTTTACACAAGAATCATCTTGAAAAAGTTCCCCTCACATTTCTGATATCCCCCAATTCACAAGAGGTTTTGAACTCATAACCTGACATCTCAGGTGTGCAGATAGCCACACACACGCACACACATGTGCACGCACACGCACACTGTTGTCACCATGCCTGGAGTTTCTCTGCCCCCTGCTGGCAGCTCCTGAGATCTGCCTTTGTTAATGTTCTACTTACCTCCTGTTAGGTGTTTTTTCCTCTCGCAGAATTGAAGTTCAAAATACTTTATGAAACAACTGGACAGGTCATTCAGAGTTGTCCTGGCGTGCCCAAAGGCTTCCAAGATGCATATGACCTGCAGAAAAATGGAAACATTTACTGAGCAACTCGTTTTTAAAAATAAAACAGGAATAGTAGCAAAGATCCAGGAATAGTCCATCATCCAGGAGGTTCTCTGTTGTTGGTATGATACTGTGTTGAATTTTTAAAGTCACTCTTTCTTCAACTGCAAACTACTGCCTCCTTCTGTCTCAGAATATAGCTAATGTTAAGAAGGTAATGATACACAGAGGGTTTCATTTGGCTTTGCTATCTCTTCACACAAACATAATCAACTCAACACATGTTATTTGAGCTTTGAGACTTAATAAAACAGTAGAAATGCTTTTGTGGTTTTTGAGGGAAGGAATTGGATTTAATATTGGTTCTTTTAAAACCAACAAATTAGGGGTGCCTGGCTGGCTCAGTTGTTTGTCTGACTTCAGCTCAGGTCATGATCTCACAGTTCACGAGTTCAAGCCCCATGTCGGCTCTGTGCTGACAGCTCAGAGCCTGGAGCCTGCTTGGGATTCTGTGTCTCCCTCTTTCTGCCCGTCCCCTTCTCTCTCTCTCTCTCTCTCCCCCAAAAATGAATAAACTTTAAAAAAATTTTAATGCTGTTAACAAAGATCTTCAGATCAACCCTAACATCTGAAATTCTTAACATGTTTCCTTAAACCTTGGCTATAGGAAAATAAAACACCATTTCTTCTGGCAATTGATTGTGTCTATGATAATGATGATGACCAAGTAATCCTCTAAAAAGTATGAAAATTTGGAAGTTTCAAAGGTATTTTTCTGTATCTTTCAAGTCATGGATGTTAAAAGTTTCTGCATCAGCCGTACGAAGGAGCACACTAATTAACACATTACTTTATTGATACAGGGGGTTCTTTATAGTTTCTGGTGATTGTATTTTTTGAGAATTGTATTCTAAGTTTAAAAAATACCCAACTTTGCTGCTACTTTTTAACTTTCTGAATGCTGATCTACTAATGCATTCGGTTCACCTGGAAGCATTTCATATACTGAAAAATTATAAAATAATACTTTGAGCCTAATCACAAATCCAAAGTGCTAAAAGTTGTGGTAATAGTAAAATCTTCCAAAATATCTACCAAATATTGAACTTTTGGAGGAAACATGTTGATTTCGGTCTCTTAGTAATAACCTAGTTTTAAAGATCATAACAGTTAATTGATAGTAGTGATGCCAGAAATGTATTCTGAAAAATAGTCTGAAATGGTATTTATAAAGGCCCTGTTTTGTTTTGTTTGCTGCTTTTCCAGTAATTCAATATTAAACAAGCATATCATGGAATTGATAGTGTAAGTAAATCGCATTTTCAACATGTATGTTATATCTAGTTTCTCTTCAGATTGAATAAATCTTTCACCCCTTACATTAAATAATTATTTAAAAATTCATAAAGAGGGTTAAAATGAATTTTTAAAAGTATTCTGGATTCTAGTTATTTTGGTGCTATAACTGAAAATAAACTGCTTTTTTGGTATTCTTACAGAGACATAAAAGATAATAACATTTGCCCAAACAGGAAATACAGGGTAATGGTTCAATACACGTTCTTTGTAGTAACAAGTACATGTGTCCACATTTCACCTCTGCTAATGATAAATTATATGACATTAAGCAAGTTTCACGAACTCCCAAGAACTGCATTTTCCTTTATTCCACCACAGGAATAACTCCTTCAGTGCTTATCAATGTCGGGTATACAAAGTTCTCAGCATTCAACAAATAACAAAGATAATTTTATTTTTGTTGATAGTAGTAGAAAACATTCATTTTGTGCCAAGAATTATCCTAAAGTTTTATATATATAACATGTAATATATAATATAAACAAAGTTATATATAAAATTATGTATACCATATACATGCACACATACAGGTACACATGTATGTTTATGCAGATATTTCTTTTAATGCTTATAACTATTGTCTCGGGGCGCCCGGGTGGCTCAGTTGGTTAAGTGTCCACCTTCAGCTCAGGTCAGGGTCTCACAGTTCTTGAGTTCGAGCCCTTCGTCGGGCTCTGTGCTGACAGCTCAGGGCCTGGAGCCTGCTTCAGGTTCTGTGTCCCCCTCTCTTTCTGTCCCTCCCCGACTTGTGCTCTGTCTTTCTTGCTCTCAAAAATAAATAAAACATACCAAAAAAAAAAAAAATCTAGTGTCTCCATTTTATATAAAAGGACATTGAGAGATTAAGTAACTTCCCCAAGGTTCAGAGATTACAGATAGTGGAGCTGGAATTCGAACCCAGGCAATGTCTCTGCAAAATCAGCATGCTTAATCAGTGCATCACCAGGCTATGAGTGCTGGAATAACAATAAGGGAATATAAGGCATAATGTTATATAAATCTAAAACTATTGAACAAAATGCAAAAGCTCTTATGGCAATCTTTCATTGTGTGCTGTTGGTCCATAATTCAAGCCTAAGATATTATTGGTTACACTGAAAAAAATTTTTTTTTTTATTCTCAAGTTAGTTAACATGGAGTCTCGTCTTGGCTTCAGGAGTAGAAGCCAGTGATTCATCAGTTAAATACGACACCCAGTGCTCATCCCAACAAGTGCCCTCCTTAATGCCTGTCACCCACTTAGCCCATCCCCCACCCCTTCCCCTCCAGGAACCCTTGGTTTGTTCTCTGTATTTAAGAGCTTCCTATGGTTTGCCTCCCTCCCTGTTTTTATCTTGTTTTTCCTTCCCTTCCGCTATGTTCTTCTGTTTAGTTTCTCAGTTTCCACATGAGTGAAAACATAGGATACCTGTCCTTCTCTGACTGACTTATTTCACTTAGCATAATACCCTCCAGTTCTATCCACGTCCTTGGAAGTGGCACGATTTCATTCTTTTTCATCCCTGAGGAGTAAATAACGCTTTTTATCTTCAATTATCCACTTGGCCAATAGGTGGCACTAAGTAAATGTGTTAAGAGAAATACCAAAACACACACACACACACACACACAAACCAGCAAAACTGATTATTGTTCCACTGCTCACCTTAACTCTCAAAGAAAATCATGAAAATATGGTACAATAACAAAACTTTAAACAAAAATATAGGCAAAAGGAAGTATGTATAGATTTCCTCAGTGGTCACTGATTCAAATTTTACTGGTATGATTTTTTTCGACTTACGACTGTGTGGGTTTTTTGGTTTTTTTCTCTAAGATTTTAATAGCTTTGCCACTAAAAATTATGCAATATTATTATGATAGTAGTTAACCTATTGTATTTTCTAAGAGTAAAAACCTGTGTCTTCCTCAATAAAAAAAAAAAAAAGGCTTACTCATGTGTACCACACCACTGTGCTCTGTAAAAAGCAGTTATTCAATAAATGTGTATTTAAACAACGTAAGTGGAATTAAATGTCCCTTAAAGCTGAAAGTCATTTGGGGCAGAATTAGTGAAAAGTCCCAGGCAGTTGTTTTTTCCCCCAAAACATGATTTTTACGTTCCAAAAACCTATCGCCAGGGAAAAATCTCCTGCTTGTACAGCTTGAAATTCAAATACAGGGATTAAAAACAACAGTCTGAACTGATGGTAGCTATTTTGAAGCTGTACAGGGGAACTAGAGCAATCTCCATGGTTGTAGGGTTCAAACCCGTTGCGTAAAACACAACCCGAACCGTGTTGCCAGGGCAGAAGGTAAACCCGCGTAGACCTTTCAGGCATGACAACTGAAGGAGGAGATTAAAATTCAGAAACATGACAGCTGTGTGTCCCTTACAAACATGTGTATGGCCTCTATGAAAGTATCCAGTCCTCTCTGGAGCTCAGTGTCACCTCTCTAGCTCTCCGGACCCCACCTAAACCTGGTTCTTCCCTCTGTGCCCTCATGGGTCAGCAGGGAGCCAGCTCAGACCCCTTCACTTTGCCCTCTTCCTCCCCATACTCCAGGTTCTAATCTTCAATTATGTCATCGATGGAAACCACAAGGAAGATGCTCTCTTTTCTTCAGCTTTACATGACTCTGCTGACACCACCCCCCTGTGCCCTTCTTTTTACGTCCCGTGTTCCCTATTTTTCAGTAACTGCTGATCCGAATAACCTCTAGTGACTGCTTTTCTTTCGCAGTATACTGCGATCCAGGGCAAAATTGTGTGGGCTAGACTCCCCAGGGGAGATGCCCTGTGTGTGTCTGTTGCACACGCAGCCCTACGTGGCCGCATCGTGGATAGTGGCTGCCGGCGTGGGAACCCACAGCAACGTCACACCACCCAGTGTGGCCGAACTGCGTTCCTATTCAACTCACCCACCTCTCTCCTTTCAGGCTTCCTAAGGAAGTTTCCTTTCATCCCACCTTGGGTTGAACTTTAAGCCTTCTACTGAATCTCAGCTCCGCAATCAAGGATGCTCTTTTCTATTCATCTCCTTAATCAGACTTTTCTTTCCCACAAGAAGTACTGGCCCATCCCCGAAATGTACAAAGTTTCACTGAACCCCTGTGATGTTATATTTACAGTCGATTCATATACATTCATTAAATACTTGTATTTAATTCCCACTTGTACACCAGGGCGCTGTGCAAGAACTGTGGGTAAGTTTTGAGAATGCTTTGAACACCAAATGATATTCATCTGGATTGTAATTTAAAGGGAAGCCAAAAACAAAAAACAAACAAACACCCAGCATAACTGATACGAAGTTTAAGCCATACTTAATCCTGGGCAATATTACCTTATGAGGCTAGGAATCACTTATTTATGACATCCTTAATTTGCATGAGAAATGAATAAAACAACAAACAAGTGAATTAGAAATGGTTTTCCTTGAAATTTGCATGGATATCATAATATTGATTCCCAGACGCTAACTGATTTGGAAGAGTTATATCTATCTAAAGAAATGCAACTTAGAATGTATTTACTTAAGCTAAACTGCGAAGCCAATTTACATAAAGTAATTTAGAATGCACTTTAGAAATTGCACAGCCTGCTCTTTCCAGAAGGATCATTTTAATAAATGATTGCTTTAGTCTATAACTTACAGTGAGGACCACTGTTCCTTGTCATTACACTTAGGCCAACAGCTGCTGGTATTCTGTTAGTTAACCTGAGTCTATTTGATAACTGTGTTCTTTAGAAATTCTCTAACTCTGCTATGTGAACATAGATAATTATGGTATCCTACCCAAGTCAACCCAAAATGTTAAATTATTTTGAGCTGTGCTGTACAATTATGCAGGTTCTCAGTATATGGTTTGAGCTTAATAAATGGTTATGAGTTAGTCATTAATGAACACATATGTCACCATAGATATTCTTCACAAAGAAAGAAATCTCCAGAATCAGGTGTAGGTTTGGGAATCCGTAAGAGCGGATTTAATTTCTTAAGGACATCTTTTTCAAAAGTCGAAAATGGGAAAAAAAATTACATTGACCTATCAATTAAATATACATTCCTCTCATTTATTTTAAAACTATTTTTTTAAATTTATTTGTTTTGAGATATAGAGAGCAAGGAGGGGAGACACAGAGAGAGAGGGACAGAGAATCCCAAGCAGGCTCTCCGCTGTCAGTGCAGAGCCCGATGCGGGGTTTGATCTCAGGAACCATGAGATCATGATCCTGACCTGAGCCAAGATCAAGACTTGGGTGCTTAACCAACTGAGCCACCCTGGCAACCCAAGTTCCTATCATTTCTAAATGAGGAATCAGATACTAAAATTTCTAGAATATTGGGGCACCTGGGTGGCTCGGATGGTTAAGTGTCTGACTCTTGATCTCAGTCAGCTCAGATCTTGATCTCAGGGTCATGAGTTCAAGCCCCACATCGGGTTCTGCGCTGGATGTGGAGTGTACTTAAAAATAATAAATAAATAAATAATAGACAGATTTTTAAAAATTTTTAATGTTTTATCTATTTTTGAGCAAGCATAAGCAGGGAGGGGCAGAGAGAAAGGGGAAAGAGGATCCAAATCGGGCTCTGCACTGACAGAAGTGAGACCGATGTGGGACTTGAACTCTTGAACAGCAAGATCATGACCTGAGCTCAAGTCAGGTGCTCAACCGACTGAGCCACCCAGGTGGTCCAAAACAAAAATTTATTTAACAAATAAGATTTCCAGAGTATTCTCATGTGCATGCCACCATGGCAGATATCCCTTGGCCCACAGCGTAAGTTGAAAGGACAGTGACAGAAAACCAAATACAAACCGCACAATTCTCACAGGGTGATGGGTTTCTACATCTTTATATAATGTGTGAACTTTTATTTATTTATTTATTTTAAATGTTTATTTATTTTTTAAGAGAAAGAGAGTGGGAGAGAGGCACAGAGGGAGGGAGATGCAGAATCTGAAGCAGGCTCCAGGCTCTGAGCTGTCAGCACAGAGCCTGACACGGGGCTCAAACTCACAAACCGTGAGATCATGACCTGAGCCGAAGTTGGATGCTTAACCGACTGAGCCACCCAGGTGCCCCAAACGTTTCAACTTTCAGATGGCTTTGTTTTAAGGAATAATCTAAGATAACAGCAGCTAAGTTTTTACTCCAATGTAATCAGACACTTTCAATATCAAGTCGCAGAATGAACTGGCAGGTATCTTTCTGCAAATACATGCCTGGCAAGGCTGGTGCAGGGGTGATTGTGGAGGGGGAGGCGTGCACCTGTCAGGTGACACCAGCACACTTCCCACACCTTGCTATGAAATGTGCACCAAGAGAGAGGGGACTGGAACCACACTGCCCGTCATGTGCATGACACACAGCACACGCAGCAAAACCTACGGGGTCCCGATGACGGACAAATGGTTTATCCATGTTAAGTTCATTTGCTATGTTTAAGTAAATGAATTGAGGTGACTTGGGATAATTAACTGTGTCTTAGGTATGCTGAAAATACTTCTAGATATCTTAAGCATGTACTCTTTCACGTGCCACATAGTACTTGAGCTCCAACTGTGTGGCGGGCTCTAAGATGGTGTCTCTGAATTCAAGGGACATGCACATGTCAGCCACTTAAGACATTGTTGAATAAATGAATGAGGGACAGAGGCCACATGGCCCAGCCTGGGGGGATACGTGTTCAAAGGTGGCTCTGGCAAGAATAGGAACAGGGAAACTCTATGAGGCTGGAGAACAGTGTTACCAGGTCAGATTGACGGGATACTGTGATCATGGGTGAAGCAGGGAGAGGCTGGCATCGAGGCCAAAGCCAGGTTTCCAGTGGGGCAATGAGAAAGTGACTGTGCCACTTATTTGATGGGTGGCCTGGGAGGAGAATGCTGAAGAAACCTGGGAGTCCCTGCGTCCAGCTCTGGACGTCTTAGGGATGCACACTGTGGGATATCCAGGAGGGCTGCTGGGCAGGGGTCTATGTGGGAAGAAGGGGAGCTGGTGGGGTTAGGATGAAGCGTGACAGCACATGGAGGGGACGGAATCATGGGATCTGACAGCATGAGGAAGCACAGAGCATAAGACCCCGAGGCCCCTAAAGTAACAGGGCACACGTAAGGGAGTCTTATTTTTGTCTCAAGCATAGAATAATCATCATGAACTTGGGTTATTCTAGTTATTTCCTCTACAGTAATGAAATTGGAAGGCTAGCCCTGCAGGTGGAGACCCCCAGGGCAGCACACTTTTGGGTTCTGATCATGCCCCGATTGGTTATTGATGGGCTGTCTTTCCACCCACTAGGGCGTCTGCCTAGCATACGTGTTCCCTGCAGGATCCTTCTAGCAACTCTTGAGTTTGCACTTCCCCTCTACTGTGGCCAGAGAAAACCTGCTAAAAATACCTACCAGGACTGTGTAAAAACAAGACACAGTCAGTGGTGAGCACCCTACAGGTGTATTCTTGGGTAAAGTTGCTGAGCTTTATTGTGTGAAATTTCTGACCTTTATCTTCACGGCTAATAGGCCTTTCTGGTTCCTCCTTGAACCCTGGAGATATTTTAGGTGGATGAAGTATCACCACAAGGAGTCTTCAAATAAAAGCAGGTGTTACTGAATATAACTTAAGGTCAGTTTTAATTGCGTGAAGGGAGTCAAAAGTACAAACTCCCAGTTACAAGGTAAGTCAGTCCTGCAGCTGTAACGCACAGCATGGTGGCCACAGTTGGGAAAACTGCAGATTTGAAAGATGCCAAGCAAGTAAATCTTAAAAGTTCTCATCACAAGACAAAAAAATTTAACTATGTGGAGTGATGGATGTTAATTAAAAAATTATAGTGATGATCGTTTCGCAATACATGCACATATCAAGTCACTACGTTGCATACCTAAAAATACCAAAACGTACATCAAACAAGTCAATATTGGAGATGAACTTTTATTACCTGCCCCTCAATAGCATTAAGCTTTCTTGTTATCAGTTCTTTTTTTTTTAAATGTTTACTTATTCTTGTAAGAGAGAGAGAGAGAGAGACAGAACACGAGCAGGGGAGGGGCAGAGAGAGAGGCAGACACAGAGTCGGAAGCAGGCTCCAGGCTCCGAGCTGTCAGGACAGAGCCCGACGTGGGGCTCGAACTCACGAGCCGTGAGATCATGACCTGAGCTGAAGTCAGACACTTAACTGACTGAGTCACCCAGGTGCCCCTCTTGTTAGCAATTCTTTTACATACTTTGAAACTTCACTATCACCTCTCAATAGTCCCCCACAAAACGTGCTAATCGGGCCAATCCCCCAAAAGTGTCTACACACCGAGTGGCACTTTCTATGTGAACAACAGTAATCTCTAAGTATATTACATGTTTTCAATCCAACTATTCTGAGCAACTATAAAAAAAGAGTATGTATGTTCAAAATATTTTAAAATAAATCTTGAATGGCATTAATTTGCACCAGGCCTCAATCTTCTTTTTCTTTCCTTTATTTCCACAAACTTGGACCAATTAATGGTCAAGCTTATGGTCTATTATGATGTTCCCTTTTATTCACAAACTACAGGTGTCCCAGCTCAACATATTCTCTGACCCAAACAAGAAACTTACGTGCTTAAATTTGGAATCAAACATAGGCCTGCTGAAGCCAGATCTGCACATCAGGTGTCTCGTTATTTGTTTGCTGGCTTCAGACTTCCCCGATCCTCTCTCTCCACTGCCAGAAAACAGAGAGAAAACTCAAGTTTAGCATCTTGGAGAATGTAGCCAACAATTCAATGAGCAGCCATAATCCTGATACAAAGGTGGTGAGGGAAGGACGGAAGAACCTTTCCTGAATGTATGATATCATCTAACTCTTAGCTTTGATTTGCTCATCCGAAATATTTAGTACATGTGTACTCAGTCACGTGCCCTCTGTCGTTCCGGACGCTGAGGCAGCATATGAATTTGATGAACGTCTGCCATCCAATGTTTTGTGTTCAGCTTTGTAAATGAACGTAAGTGAGCGGGACCCCAAGGGACGGCCTCTACAGTGAGGATGCATGTGTCCTGGAGCAAATGGCCTTGTAAAAGCTTTCTGAGCCTCCCAGGAAAGACATTACACTTTCCTTGGCCAGAGTTGACCAGGAGAGTAAGGTGCCTGGCACACGGCAGATCCTAAAATGGCCACTTGCCTCTTGAGGCTTCTGTCAGTCTGACGTTTCACGTTCTCCATTTTCCTTGAATCCAGGAAATAATAGTAACCAAACTTGTTATCTGTAGTGACATTTTTGATGTTTCTCAAAACTCATCCAATTTCTATAAATAATTGTACTATATTCCTGACATGAGAGGATAGAGGATTATGTAAAATTCCAATACAGTTATTACTTACTAAATACCAAATAAAGTGGTTAGTGCTTCCAGATAGAATGCTCAGGAAAAGTCTTTACTCATCTGATAGCTTAAAAATTAAAATATATATAAAAATATATATATATATATATATATATATATATATATATATATATATATATATATATATATATATATATATATATAAAGCTCTTTACTAGTGCTTTTTGGGCTTCTCCCCTGATTATTTGTACTAATGAATTGGAGGAAAAGGTGTTTGCCAGAAAAGAAGCTGAAATGTATTTTTTTATCCAAGTCTCCAGCTGCTAACAAAATACTTCCCTTCCCCGCATCCGCGCCGACCATAAATATTTTAATGACTTTCAGAACCACCACTCTGGCAGCCTGAGGGGAGCAGGTGCCAGAGGCCCACGCAAGATAAGGAGCTCCTTTTCTAGGTTCAAGGACATTTGCTTGTAACCTTCTAATTTCAGAGCAGAAACAATTTAGATCACTCGTGTTTGAAATTTCACTTCTACCCTTGTATTCGCTGTTATAAATTGGATGGTTTATAAACCTTGATTTTGTAGAGATTCTGCTCACATTTACGCAGGGTTGGATCTTGAAAACACCATTTTCCTTTTAAAAATGGCGCTCCTTCTTTCAGATGAAATTTACTAAGGGCCTACTATGTGCCGGAGTCTAGGCCAGGCTGCAGAGCTCAAGAGGTGCATCCGTGGGCAATCCGGGGGCCATCATCCATCATCCGGGATGCTCTCCAATGAACACCAAGCACATCACGAATGCATACTCAAACTGCAATGGAGCACAGCAAACAATGTGCCAGCAGGTGGAAGAAACCAGGGAAGACTTTGGGGGGTAGGCTCATTCTTGGAGAAAGGGTCGTGGAAGGCAGCCTTCACCCAACATGAAACACTCAACCGGTTCTTCCACAGCATCTATTCTGAAACCGGAAACAGGTGGTACATGGACGATGGTGAACGCAGCCGGCAGTCTGCACAGCTGGGAGGGTGTGCTGCTGCCCTGGAGGTCACGTGAGTGCCTTCCCCCCGCTCTCGCCACTGCGCATGCTCTGTCACTCCACGTGGGGGTAGAGAGAATGATCAATTCTCTTACCTGGCCAAAATCACTAGCAATTTCAACCATCTCATAAAATCTCAAAATGGGCATATTTTGTTGAAACTCTGAGTAAAATACAAGGAAATTAAAAAAAAAAAAAAAAGAATACAGCACAGGGCAGGGTAGGATATCATATTGCAACTAAAAATCCTAGCATGATGTGTTCAAGAAATATCCCTTGATCTGAAAACCCAGTATATGATTAAACTAGAAACTGATGGAGGATTTTGGGCAGTGCCCATCATGGACCCATAGAAATCTGAAAGCTTATTTGAACAGCCTTGTCTGCAAAACCTGCACGTGACAGAGGCTGACCTTATTCTGCTAACTTCACAAGTTACTTCTATGTTCAGCTTATAACATTAATTTGGATTTGCTCAACACACTGTTAGGATAATGGATTTTTGTCACATGTGCTCTGACAATTAATTAAAACCATCTATCAAGGCCTTCAGAAAATTAAAGATAAGATTGATTATGGTGAACACCAGACTCTCAGTTATAACCCACGACAAAGATCTGAAAATTATTAAAAACTGTTTCTCAAGATGAAGCTTTGTGTGCTAGAGAGGCCTATAATTATCAATCAAGTGAAAAACAAAATAGAAATTTGAAAATAAAAGTTAGAAATTCCTGCTCTAGTCCTAAGTTATAGGACATGTGTTCCAGGAATATTTGCATTTTGATCTCCAAATCTTAAATTATCCTTTGTAAATGCTGGTTATGAGACACAATAGACTCTTGGCTGTGATCTTTTCTTTCTTTTTTAATTTATTGTCAAGTTAGCTAACATACAGTGTAGTCTTGGCTTCAGGAGTAGATTCTCATTATTCATCACTTACATACAACACCCAGTGCTCATCCCAACAAGTCCCCTCCTCAATGCCCATCACCCATTTTCCCCACCCCACCAACCCCCCCACCCACACCAACCCTGCTTGTTCTCTGTATTTAAGGGTCTCTAATGGTTTGTCTTCCTCTCTGTTTGCATCTTATTTTTCCTTCCCTTTCCCTGTGGTCTTCTGTTAGGTTTCTCAAACTCCACATATGACTGAAATCATGTGACATCTGTCTTTCTCCAGCTGACTTATTTCACTTAGCCTAATACTCTCCAGTTCTATCCAAGATGTTGCAAAGGGCAACATTTCATTCTTTTTCATTGCTGAGAAGTATTCCATTGTGTGTGTGTGTGTGTGTGTGTGTGTGTGTGTGTGTGTGTATGCCACATCTTTATTCATTCATCAGTTGATGGACATTTGGGCTCTCTCCATAAGTTGGCTATTATTCATAGTGCTTCCCTGATCTTCTAAACAATGTATTTAGTTGAGTTCTAAACTTACTAATTTTAATGAATTAGTATAATAAATGCAGAAAGCCTTTATCGTAGTCAAGACAATCAAGGAAGTAGAGAAGCCATATAAAAACATCAATCCTGAAAGAAGAGGATGACTAAAATAGTAAGTCCCTGTGATCACACATTTGTTCTTCACTTCTTGAAACCTGAACAGGAGTGCCTGGGTGGCTCCGTTGGTTGTGTGTCCAACTTTTCATTTTGGCTCAGGTCATGATCTCATGGTTCATGAGCTCAAGCCCTGCATTGACCATGGTGGACCCTGCTTGGGATTCTCTCTCTCCCTCCCTGTCTGCCCCTCCTCTGCTCTCTCTCTCTCTCTCTCTGAAAAATAAATAAATAAATAAATAACCAAACAAACATTAAAAAAGAAAAAAACTTAAACGAGGAAAAAAAGTTTTTTCAGAAAGACTGAAAGACACATGGCATTATTAGCCTTTAAAAATGTCCCAAAGAGGGGCACCTGGGTGGCTCAGTCGGTTAAGCATCCGACTTCGGCTCAGGTCATGATCTTGCGGTCCGTGAGTTCGAGCCCCGCGTCGGGCTCTGTGCAGACAGCTCAGAGCCTGGAGCCTGTTTCAGATTTTGTGTCTCCCTCTCTCTCTGCCCCTCCCCTGCTCATGCTCTGTCTCTCTCTCTGTCTCAGAAATAAATAAACGCTAAAAAAAATTTTTTAAATAAATAAATAAATAAAAATGTCCCAAAGAAATACTAATTCTGCAGAATATTAGCAAGTCCAACTGGAAAAGCAATCCCATGAGCAAATTCATGTAGAAAGCACTGGGTTAAAGATAAATGGGTTTTTATTGAGAAGGGCACCTTTGGGGATGAGCACTGGGTGTTGTATGGAAACCAATTTGACAATAAATTTCATATTAAAAAAACGATAAACGGGTTTCTTTACTAAAAGAACTTGCTAGATATTATGAAATCTGTAGCAGGCAGACTCCCAAAGGATATGATTCTTTGGCTCCTCAGAGCTTCGCTAAAACCTATGCGTTTCAATAGAATTAAGCAGATTCAATAAGAACTTAGGAAAACCCACGGATTTGTGCCCGGCATTTTAGGGAAGGCTGGGTGGGCTGCCAGAAGCCTCCTTGAGCAGGCTGCAGGGGGCAAGCCACGCACTGGTGTCTGGCTTGGAGAGTGGGGAAGCTTCGTTCACGCCCAGAAGCCAGACTATGGGTTCACATCCCACATACAGCATCCACTGGACCCTAGACTAATTAATCACCATTTACTAATTCACACTATTGGGCTCACATCCCAGATTCACTATTTACTGATCACAAGGCCCTAGACTAGTTACTCCTTATAATACACAGTCACCTGACCCATAAAATAGTGATGCTAAAGCTATGGGTAAGGCAAAACACGGAAAGTACCCAATGGAGGGTCTGGCACTATGTTCTCAATACGTATCAGTTGTTACTACTGCCCACACTATTATATACTCCCCATAATCTCATGGGTTTTTAAAAGTGTTCCCCTTTTCATCAAAGTTACACTAGAAAACCCAACAGAGCAGATAAAAATAGAGTTGCTTGATTGGAGGATGGCGGAGGCCTCCCCTGCTGCCGGTGCCCCTCCCATCTGGGGACACTTCAGCCCAAGTGTGAAAAAACTACTTGCATGCTACTTTGAAAATCAGAACGTTGAAGTTTGCAACCACCAATCATACCCTCCACTGAACTTCTGACCAAAGTGATAATGTAAAAGTACATAAATAAGTGCTTATTTAAGTATTTAGATGTCTTTCGGGTTCTATGCAGTTGTCCATCTTTACTCACTTTCATTTCACTTTGAGGAGTTATGGAGAGCTTTATTCACACATTTGTTTCCAGTCAACACTACTGATTATAACTCAGGCAAAGCCATGAAGGTTACAGAAGTCCCCTCTGGTAGAATTTTCTCCTAATAAGAAACGTATTTCTTGGGACACCTGGGCAGCTCAGTTAGTTGAGCAACCGACTTTGGCTCAGGTCATGATCTCACGGTTCATGAGTTTGAGCCCTGCATCGGGCTCTGTGCTGACAGCTCAGAGCCTGGAGCCTGCTTCTGATTCTGTGTCTCCCTCTCTCTCTGTTCCTCCCCCACTCACACTGTCTCTCTCTCTCTCAAAAATAAATAAAGGTTAAAAATTTTTTAAAAAGAAACATAATTCTCAATGCAGATCTTGTTTTAACACCTAAATAATTTTAAATCATTTATCAGTACCTAATCACATTTCACCTCTACTCTCTACTTCTTGTGGTACTTGTGTGTATGGGGGAGTGGGGGGAAGAATTTTTGCTCTGATGTAAATCACTGTCATGAGCATCTGGTAATTTATGAGCTAATGCTACCATTATGTTTCAGTATAAAATATTTCCGGGTATATACTTTGGGTAAAATACAAGCAAACATAAATACCCAGGAGTGTGTGGGAAAGCCCACATTTGTAAGGTAATAATTTGTGTTTTGTATTTGAGCAGCACCACATTTTGTGAACCATGGTTCGCTAACAGCAGGTGCCTTTCCTTCCCCAGGGTTTCTAAGGCTTGAAAGCAAAAACACTCTGGTTCTAAGTAGTAAATCTTCCAAATGAATTGAGTTTCGGGTTAAGTTTGTTGGTATTGATTCAGCCACACTTGGGGCTATTTCTAATAACAACGATGTCTCTCCTTTGTAACGAGTCAAATGTACTTATTGCCAAGACATACTGGACTGCCGGGTGCTGAGGAAGTAAATAAACAGAAACCACGAGAAATGAGTACAGCTTGACCGCCAAGCCTCCAGCATGACGCCGAGCATCCATTCGGCTAGGCGCGGGGTGCACTCACCTGAGAATGAAGCACTGGGACCGCTGCTCCTGGAAAAGCTGGTGGAAGGCCCTCTCTGCACAGGAGAAGATGTGGGGCGGCAGGGAGGAGCAGGGCTGCCCCGAGCTGCTGAGATAAAGCTGGGAGACCTGCAAAATGTGTGGGACACAGATGTCTGTGAGAAGGCTCCAGCTCGTCTACCTCAGCACACAGTGGACTTCTTTCCAATACACAAATGTGACACAGTCTATTTTTGAATCTCATTTGTAACTACAAAACGTCTGGGAAATTATGCTCTTTCAGCACGTTTTAAGGGTTCACCATGATAAAACAGGGGCATACCCTTGATCCTGAATTACTTGGTTCACAGGTTTGAAATTATTCTGCTGTCCTTAAGCAGAGCAACTGACACAAATCCAGTTTAATAGACACCCACGGAGTAAGCTGAACCTGGGCTAATTTACATCAAATGCAATGTCTCTTGGCGACATTTCATTTCCGTAACATAAGATAGACAGGGTTTTTAATCCGAATAGAAAGCAGTTGCAGTTGAAACACAGAAGAATCTACAAATTTCTCAGAAAAACAAAAATTAACTTAATTTCAGTGACACAGTGATTGATGAGGATTGCCATGGTTCCAGTGTTTTTAGTCCTTTTGAGTTTCTAGTAAATTCTGCTACATTAGAATTAATCATTAAATGACAGGGAGGTGTCTGAGCTATGAAGAAATAGCATACTTATTTTTTATTTATTTATTTTTTTACAAAGTAACTTCCCTGTAGCCTCAAGGATGTCAAGGTTGGGAAGTTCAGGAGAAGATAGAGGGATGAATCCAGACAAGACAAAAGGGCCTAGAGGCTCAGTGTGCCTGTCCTGTGATGGTGGCCTGGGTCTTGGGCTCTGTGGGCATTATGTGGTGATGGGAAAGACCTGAATGAGGCACCCTGACTCGATGGTCACACTGCATCAGGAGCAATTTCCCGATTCCAATGGTGGTATGCGGGTTACACAGGTGAATGCCTTGGTTTGCACAATGTTTGGAAATGCACAAGGCATATACTCAAGGTTGATGGGACACCATGCCAGCAAATCATTTGAAAATGGTTGGGGAGAAAAAGTTGTTTGTGCTATTTATCTGCAAATTTTTCATATGTTTGAAGTTATTTAAAACCATAAGGGAAATAATTTTTTTAAATGGACTAAATGATCTACAGCTATAAGAAATAATTGGATGAATCGCACAAACACGATGTTGAGTGCAATCTATCAGACACAGAGAGAACACTCTCGATAAAGTATAAAAACAGGTGGAACTAGTCTACACTGTTAAGAAGTCACATGACCTTGGCAAGCTACTAGTGATTGCAGAAGAGTGAGAGTGTGGCTTCTGGAGAGCCAGAAATGTTCTGGATCTGAGGGCTCATGAAAATGTATCCATCTGGACACTTACAAATCCATGAGTACTATATCTCAATAAAAACTCCAAAAAACCCAAAATCTGTAAACACTGGTTCTGGTGCAGAGACCAGAAAAAGAGATCAGTGGAACAGACTAGAGAATTCAACCCAAGCCCACACATGGGTGGGGATTTGGGGCACAAAATGGGCTGTTTCATGCATCAGTCATACAGGATGGTGTTCAAAAAACCGATATTAGTAAAGGAAAAAAACACTGATCTCTAGCTCATGTGATATGTAAACATGAATTCCAAATGCATTTAAGTCCCAAATATAAACAGCAAAACATAAAACATTTACACAAGTAAAGAGAATAATACTGTCATGATTTTGGAATAAGTAAATACAGTTCCCAAATACAAATTATAATGGGAAGGATGACTTAATATCACAACAGCACATGTGACAACTGCTTTTCTACCACAAACATCAAACATACAGTAATGATGATAAAAGTCAAAGACAGAGAGGAGATTAAGCTGTGCATAGAATCCATATATTATCCATGTCTTATAAATGACTCCTACAAATATATGCCTACAAAGAAAAACTGGAAATAAAATTGAAAATTGGACAAAGAATATGAACAGAAGAGAATAACTAATAAGCATAAGAAAAGATCAGTAACTCTGTTATCCAAGGAAATCCCATTTCAAACAGTAGGGTAATAGATACAAAATACTGGTAACTTTATCAATGGCACAGTAATAATAATAATCATCATCATCATCACCATCATCATCATAATAGGGGTGTCTAAGTGCCTCAGTCGGTTAAGCCTTGATTTTGGCTCAGGTCACTATCTCTCAGTTGTGAATTCGAGCCCTGCATCAGACTCTGTGCTGACACCTAGCAGAACCTGCTTGGAACTCCCTCTCCCTCTATCTTCTCCCCCCCCCCCAAATAAATAAATAAACATTCAAAACAATAATCATAATAATAACAGTAATAATGGCTTACACTTGATGTGTGCTTGCTACTGTTCTAAGCACTTCATACTTATTCATCTAATTCTTGTAGAAATTACAAGTGGGGTATGAGAATCCTCTCCCTTTTTACAGGTGGGAAACTGAAGCAAAGAAGTTAGCGACTGGTGCAAGGTCACATGTCTAATTAGCGGTGGGGTTGGTTTCAAAAGGAAGTTTTCGCCAGCACTAGAAAAATGCATCTGCAGTACTGAGGGTTGTTCTTGCTAACTGGAACAGTGATTTAGCAACAACTTCTAAACTGAAGAAGGTAGGCTTGACCGCGAATCTCTCTGAAGAAACTCTTGCACGTCGGCAAAAAAGCACACACAAAACAGTTCTTAGCACCCTTTTGTAAGAGCAGAAAACATGGCAATAATTAAAAATGGGTATAGGGTTTAATGGATGAATATAAGTGATTGTGTTTTAATATGATAAAATACTATAGGACATTTAGAATAAATTATCTAGATCTAAAACTATCAATATAAAATATTTTTGAAAGCACAGTGACTAATGAAAATTTTCTTTCTTTCTTCCTTTTTTTTTTTTTTTTTTTTTTTTTTTTTTGGTAAATGGATATGGTTTGTATGTCCTCTGAATGAATTAAAACAGAAAATAATGAAAAAAATAAAAAATGAAACAGAAAAAAATGGTATATGCAGTTTTTTTTTTGCATGTGTACAATAGGACCCCCCTTATCCACCAGTTATATGTTCCAGGACCCCCAGGGGACACCAAAAACCACAGAGAATACCAAACCCTATATACACTTTTTTTTCCTCTATGTACAGAACTATGATAAGGTTTAATGTATAAATTAGGCACAGTAAGATTACCAACAACAACTAAGAATGAAATGGAACACTTACAACAATATGCTATAATAAAAGTTGGCGGGCGCCTGGATAGCTCAGTCAGTTAAGCTTCTAAGTTTGACTGAGGTCACGATCTTGCAGTTCGTGGGTTCAAGCCCCGTGTCGGGCTCAGTGCTGACATCTCAGAGCCTGGAGCCTGTTCTGGGTTCTGTGTCTCCCTCTCTGCCCCTCTCCCACTCCTGCTCTCTCTCTCTCTCTCAAAATAAATAAACATT